ACTTGACCATTCTTGTTGATGCCAAGTAAGCTCTCTTCATTAGCATTGCTATATCATTATCTTCCTTTTCAGGTACACCTATGGCAAAGGAGTAGCTGGAAAAGCTAAAGTAACTCTTGAACAACCATGGCACCGTTGGCATCCAATCCCACGTCCCATCATTGTCAATGAGGATGGAACTACAACACAGGTTGGATATCCCAAACCGTACAGATCATTTCAACACGTTGTTACAGCTTGAAGAGGAAACTCAAATTTCACGAACCATTGTTCTTAACAATATGGGATTGGCTTCCTTCACTTTCAGCAATGAAGACTTGAAGAATCACAAGCTCGTTCAAGAATATGGTGGTGGTAGTATTCGCATCATTGCTACTGTTACCGAAGATTTGACTGAAACTCAACGAAATGGAACAGCTCATGTAAGACTTCAATTGCTTCATCTATGCAAGCTTCCACTTCGTTAAGGTGTCTACTTATCGTCATGATGTGAAATTGGATTTGGAAAAGCAAGGCGATAGCTTCAAACCCGGATTGTTGTATAATGTGATCGTGACTTTGAAACAAATGAACGACATGCCCGTTAAAGCAACTGTGCCTCGTCGTGTTCTGGTTTTTCTTTTTTCTCCAATGTAGTTCGTTTCACGAACTTCTTTCAGATCAACACTTATTACAATTATCCTTTCAATCCCGATTTATCCACTCAACATGAGGACAAGGAGGTGCATTGTGATTACACAAGCTTTTGATACATTTTTTGTTTTTTTCAGATGAAGATTGTCGACTTAGATGCTCATGGAAGTGCTATTCACAGCCTTCAGCCACCTATCAACTGCACTTCAGCTAGAATTGAAGTGAAGTTCCAGGGGTTTTCGAAGTGTTTCATACGTCTTGTTGCAGGCTCATTATGATCGTACAGGACAGGATAACTTCACAAACACTGTCATTTACAGTAGTTTATACGTTGAAGCTGGAAAGTCTCCATCCAAATCATATCTTCAAGTAAGCGCTCAGAAGGGGTTAATGATCAACTCAATTCTTCTTCAGATTATTGCTGACAATGAGGGTGTTCTTGATGTTGGCAAAACTTTGTCATTCTCCGTCAAGGCTACCGAGAGCATTAGCGTTCTGACTTACCAAGTTTGATATCACAGCTCGAACAGGAAATTGATCTTTTCATTCAGGTCATGTCAAGAGGAGCCGTTGTGCTGTCTAAAGAATTATCTGTCAACTCAGATCATGCCACCATCAGCTTCCCTGCTAGCAGCGAAGTTTGTACTATTGGCTGACGATGTTCGAACTTTCATTTCAGATGTCCCCAAAATCACGTCTTATTGTCTATGCTGTGCGTCCCACAAACCAGGAAGTTCTAGTTGATGCTACCGATTTCAAAGTTGATGGAGTATTCAAGAACAATGTAGGGTGCACGATTTTTTTTCATGAACAATTTCGTTAAGGTGTCTCTATCCATTGATCGTGCTCAATGCGAACCAGGAGAGCCAGTAACTTTCAAGGTTCAGGCAGATCCAAACTCTTACGTAGGACTGTTGGCTATCGATCAGTCCGTTCTTCTTCTCAAGTCAGGAAATGACATCACCACTCAATTGGTAAGAAAAAATATAGTTGTACAAGCATACTTGCTCCAGGTGGAAACCGATCTGGACGAATACGACACCACCGGCTTCTCTGGAGGTTATCGTCCATGGGAAGGTGCCATCGATCGCAGACGTCGTCGTCGTAGTGTCTGGAACCCATGGTGGGGAGTGGGAGGAAAAGATGCAGCAAGTATTTTCGAGGTAATCCAAACACTCATCAGGTTTGAAAGTACCCGTATACTATAGAATGCCGGTCTTGTTGTTCTGACTGATGCTTACCTATACCGCGAACCAGAGCCACCAAGTAAGCGGATTTTCGAACTTGTTTCTTGTTTTTCAGTTTCCTTATCTGAGTTCAACCCTACATTTAGCAAATCCAATAACTGATTGAACTTGCTTACTAGTCGCTAACAATACTTTTCCATTAACATGCACTAACATATCATAGATAGTTCACATTCTGAACTTCCTCATTGACAGGGTGGAGGTGAAATCTTTCTTTTATCTTTCCGGTTATGGTCTTGGTTCACTTGGCTCTTTTCCTTAATAGTACCTGTCATACTAATCACTTTCATTTTTCATCTCACATTGGGAACGGGTACTCTTTCGGGCTTCACTTCTTCTTCTTCTACTTCTACTTCTTCTTCAACACTTACATTTTGATTGTTCGTAACTGACATTCGTGTACAATTTGTTCTATTAATAGGGATTGTTTATGTGTCAGGAGTTGGAAGAACTAATGTTAATCTGAATATACTAGCCCCATTAGCTGCGAATATAGCTCAGCCTCAAGCGTATGGAGGAATGGGAAGTGTAGCACAACCACCGCCGGTTGTTCGAAGAGAATTCCCCGAAACATGGGTTTGGACTGATGTGTCCTCTGAGTCAGTGTTATTAGAGTTCATTTTTAAAATGTGTGTGAGTCGGTGTGTTTGCTGTTTACTAGACCATACCTCGTTCCACTTGATATGCGAGAACGTCCCGGTTGTACAGTGTTCAGGCTTCAGGAAAACTAATGATTTGTTGCTTTCGTCAGTGATTGTCATCGACTCTCAACGTTGTTTTTGATCGTCTATGTACTCGTACATGTCCTATCTTACCAACCCAATCGCTCTCTCTCTCTCTCATACCTGCATAATCCTTAACCTCCGCAGAAGCTTCTTCTTACAGGACATCGAGTTTTCTTCTCACATCCTGCTGCAAAAGTAGCATTGGATGCTGAACTAGCGCCTTCATTAGGTTCAGGCGCAACAACACCTACAGTTCGCCGGAAGTTTCCGGAAACTTGGGCTTGGCTGAACCTAACCAGCAAGTAAGGAATTTACGTGTAACAGTATGTGAGATCGAGAAATATAACTGCGGTCAATGTTGTTAATGAACGAAGAGTTCCGCTACCGCTTACTAGTAGAGTAACAACATGCGTAATTTCTAATACATTAATGCTGTGTGAAAATCATAATCTTGACTATCTATGGCGTTTCCACAGCTGGAACAGCTCTGACTCCACCCTCTCTCTCTCTCTTGTCTCTCTCTTGTCTCTCTCTCTCTTCTCTCTTCTCTCTCTTCTCTAAACTTTTCTCTCTATTATTTAGCTTCCTCCTATCTCTGTTCTCATTATAAAGTTCATTTTTGCACCCCCACCAATTAGTTTTGTCGCCTTGGTTCATCATAATCATCCTTCCCACTCAGTGAACTTGTTGGAAAGCGATATGGTGATGAGAGGCGATGGCGCTATTCCTGTAATGGCTTTTGCTGCACCTGAAAGTGCTTCGGATTCTTCCGTTGAACCAACGCCCGTACGTGTACGTTCAGAGTTCCCAGAGACCTGGATATGGGTTGATGAAAAGGCTAAGTGAGTTTATATTATGAAAACAGAATAGACAACTGAAGACGACATGTAAACTGAGGGTTCCGGTGGAAGATTGTTCAGTCATCTCACCTGGGAGAGTTCAGAGAACAACAGACCATCCCATCCCCACATTTTGAGTTTCTGCTAACTTGAGCATTCAATAATACCAACGTGTGAATGGTTTTCTTGCTGCTTATAATCCACAATCTCGGAGCATACTAACATGTGGGGAAGTATTGTGAAAGCTTTGCCAGAACCAGCCGATTCGTGTATTCTGGGCCGTGCAAGTGCTTTCTCGACACTTCCTCAGATGACTTAGGCGAAGTAGTTCGAGATCAGCCTACACATGCTTCCACAGATATAGAAGCTCATCAGCTTCATTCATTTTTTCTTCAAGAAATGAATGAGGACTGGCAACACTTAGATGTCTCAGCATATGTCCGGTAGATTTTGCAGTTAGCGATCCTCGCCACATGCTCTAATGAATATTAAAATGTTTTGTTGTTGTCCAAGCATTTTTTTCACATATGCTTATCTCTTACTTCTCTAAGAAGTTGCGCAGTTGTTTGATTTTCCAGTTGCCGTCTATCTCAAATCGTCCAGAGTGCTCGATGATTCAGTCATGATGTCATCAGAAGCTTTAGTTAGGCCACCATTCGCAGAATCAACAGCATTTGATTTATCTGAGACTCGTTTACGCTCGCATTTTCCTGAATCTTGGGTTTGGACCGATATCGTGGCCAGGTTTGAGTGTCCCCCTCCTATCCTTCTACGAGTATTCTTCATCATTTGATGAGCAACAAGATTGTTGATGAGAGTGAACAGCAACACGAAGCCAATAACTAGTGAATGTTTTGCGACATACACAGTTTTCAAAAGATTCTCGGCTCCCCCGATAGTTGATCTCAGTCGTGAAGAGTGGTTGTACCAGTCTAAGACAAGAAGAGCTTCATCTTCATTTGCAAACAAGTTTTTTTTCAGTGATAATGGAGAAGCTACTTACCGTGCTACTGCTCCTGACACTATCACCTCTTGGGTTGCTTCAGCATTCGCTATTAGCGAGGACACCGGCTTAGGAGTAGCACCATCAACAGCTAAAGTAAGATTCTGATTCTTTCATGCCTAAAATGGTATTGCAGTTACGTGTTTTCCGTCCTTTCTTCATCCGACTTGACTTGCCATACTCTGTTAAACGTGGAGAAAAGTTTGCTCTCAGAGTTTTGGTTTTCAACTATCTCGAGCAGGAGCAGGATGTTCGTTTATACAATCATTTTTGGGAAATTTGGTTTTTCTAGGTGACTGTCACTCTGAAACATGACGACAACTCAGGTTTTGGATTCATGAACAAAGATGGAAGCATCAACAAGGGGTAAGGATTGCCTCATAACTTTCTCTCTATAGTATGCACTTTGAAGAGTAGGAAAGGCAGGATACAATCAACGATTGGTGTCTGTCCCTGGTGGTGGAGTATCCAAAGCTGTGTACTTCCCAATAGTTCCTAATGAAATAGGAATGGTTCAACTGATGGTTACAGCCCAAGCTTCTTTAGCTGGTGATGCTGTAGAAATGCCACTGAGAGTCGAGGTCAGTCATACATCCTAGGATAGTACGAATAATTTCCTTTAAGCCCGAAGGATATCGTGTTGATCGTAATGTACCTGTAGTTGTGGATTTGAGCAACGTTTCTGATTGGACAAAATCTGTTGAATTAGTTTGGCCCGAAGATGTTGTAGATGGCTCTAAGAAAGCCCGTGTTGATGTCATTGGTTTGTTATTCAACCATTTTGCTCATTGTGTTTCATACCAGGTGATATCATGGGACCCGTTTTGACCAACATTGATAAACTTGTCCGCATGCCTTATGGTTGCGGAGAGCAGAACATGCTCAACTTTGTACCTAACATCGTAGTTCTGCGCTACTTGAAAGCCATCAATCGAGGTGATGCAGCTCTAGAAGCCAAAGCCAAAAAGTACATGGAAGCTGGTTACCAAAGAGAGTTGACTTATAGGTATGAGTTGTTAAAGATAACTTTGACTCTACTGGAATATGCAGACGAAGCGATAACTCCTTCTCTGCTTTTGGAGAGAGTGACAAGGCGGGTTCTACATGGTTGACTGCTTTCGTCGTTCGTTCTTTCGCTCAAGCCAAAGACTTCATCTTCATTGATTCTGAGATTTTATCCAAGAGTATCGCCTTCTTGAATGCTCAACAAATGGTATATCATTAGATATTGTCTGACTGAGCAGTTTTTTTTTTCAGGAAACAGGTGCATTTGCTGAACACGGTGAAGTTCATCACAAAGACATGCAAGGCGGAGCAAGTGAGGGAGGAATCGGCTTGACAGCTTACGTCACTATCGCATTGCTTGAGAATGGGGTTTGTCTTTACCGCTTTTACAAATCAGCTGGTTACTGTATAGGTTCGTAATGAAGCTGCTCTCACATTCTTGGAGAAAAACCTTAAATCTATCAAGAATGACTCATATGCTTTGGCTGTCGTCACGTATGCTCTCCATTTGGCTGAAAACTCCAAACGCCAATCCGCTTTATCTGATCTGGAAGCTCTTCAAGTTACCGGTTCAGGTTTGTATAGTTTTTGTTCCAAGAAGTCACAACATTTATGTAGATGGTTCAATTCATTGGTCAGCTCAAAAGGGAGAGAAACCAGAAACAGATGCTTCTCAATACTTCTTCCAACCAAGACCTGTGGATGTGGAGACAACTGCTTACTCGCTGTTGAGTTACATGACTCTGAGAGACACAGAGAAGGTTTGGCATCTACTCCTACTCATAACTTATGTAATCTCAGGGATTACCTATCGTTCGTTGGCTAACATCTCAACGTAACTCTGAAGGAGGCTTCTCTTCAACTCAAGATACTGTGATAGCCTTATTAGCCTTAGGTATGCAGAAAGATATTAACTTTTTGAAACTCTGATATAGGATCATATGGACAAGTAGCTTACTCTCCTGAAAACAATGTCACCATCACTGTCCGAAATGGAGCAAACTCAAACGAATTCGGAGTTACTTCAACAAACGCCCTTGTACTTCAATCTTATGAGGTTGTATAGTTGAAATCATCATCTTATATCACTGCTTTACAGCTTCCTAACGTTGATTCTTCTGTTGTCCTTCAAGGAGCAGGAAAAGGAATTGTTTTTGCTCAGGTTTCTCTCGATAGTCAATGTCGTCTTCATCAGATGGTTTAGGTTTCATATTCATATCACCGTAACCATCATGTGGAAGATGCTCCTTTCTTCTGTACACAAGACTTGAAAGAGCTTCGTAATGGAAATCGTCTTCAGATTGATTTGTGCTGCAAGTAAGTCTGACGCCAATGACCTCTCCAATTATATGACTCAGTTATACTCGCGGTGGACAATCCAACATGGCTGTCGCCGAAGTTCCAACTCTCACCGGATATCGGTATTAGAAAGATCGTCGGAATATTGCTTTACTGCTGCTTTACAGTTATGATGTGGAAGAGTCAAGTTCTCTCTCTCAAGTTTCCGGAATCAAGAGAACAGAATTCGTGAATGATGATACTCAGATTAATCTCTATTTCAATGGCGTAAACTTCTTCTTGCATTATACTTGAACTCTTTCTGTTTCAGCTGGATGATAAGCCTATCTGCTTTTCTTTAAATTCCGATCTTCTCTATAACGTGGCTGACACTAAGCCAGCTGAAATCGTCTTATATGATTATTATAACCCAGTGGAACAGGTTTGCTTTGTGCGTATTTCATGGCAGACATGTTAACTTCAGCTCAAAACGAGCTATGCTCTGAAATCTGGCAGATCCTTAACTGATTCTTGTTCGGATTGTTGGATGAGTGCTGAGGCTCTATCATCAGCAGACATTCCAACGAGTAAACCACCAAATTCCTCCTCTACTCCTTCAGGTCAGCTATTAAGCCTGGCCTTGCTTCTCCTCATACGATTGCCTGTTTATTAAGTTGTGTGAATGATACTGACTTAGATTAATGTCTCCGATTAGCCTGGAAGTGCAACTTTGTTTTTTTTATTTTGATCGGATGAGTTTGTCGTGACTTTTGTTATTTCATCAACCTTATCTGTTGTTCAAAATGGGGTTCCCCTCATCAAGCCTGTTCGACTGTAAGACTGCTGCATGTTGTGTGCTCTTTGAGTTTTATGCCACTGTTCTAATCGTCTAGGAATGTTACCGCTCATTCGGTATTTTTTAATTTACGTTATCTTCTTTCTGTTTGCTTGTCTCTTCTGTCTCATTCATGATTCCTTTTCATTTTGTGAATGTTCTAAAGCTTATACGGAATTCTTTCCTCGAGACTGGTCACGGCAGTTCTAGGCTACGCCAAGACTGACGTCTTCATTTTTTTGTGATCATCATGACCTTTTAGCATACTATAACATCTTTTAGAAAATCTTAATAGAAAACAAAAAAATCTTTACTCTTCTTCTCTTCTTCTCTTCAACTGTGTTCATTACTCACTTCAACCTCGAATTGTTTTACATTTAACTAACCGCATTTCAACACTGGACCTCTCAGTTGTCTTCTGTGATTTTGAATGATTTAACAATTTTTGAGAAGCTTTTTCTTGATTCCAAACTCTTTTGCCTGCTGTTTAATGGAGCTACGCTTCTGTTTCCATATTCATCAAACATTTTACAGACAATCAGCTTCTTTAGCTGATCCACTTCAGTGTTTGTCTTCTTCAGTTTAATTACGTGGCTGCTAGCTTTCCGGCTACTATGCTCAAATTAATATTTCTCCAGTCTTCTTGGACTGAATTAAACCTATATAATAAAATAATTTGTTTCATACTCTTATTGCACATTAAAAACAAATGCTAGGTCACCATTGGGCAAACAATGCAGAGGTCGCACCTGCTGGGTCAAGATAGGCGGAGCCTGCGCGCTATAACACACAATAAAAAATTTTTCCAATTGGTCATCACCACTTGATCCGTCAGTGAAACTCTAACCATGCCACCCAAGCCATCTGCCAAGGGAGCTAAGAAAGCCGCCAAGACCCAGAAAGTCGCCCG